AGAGAATTCCCTGGGGATAACAGCAAATCACCTGCAGGCACTGCCAAAGGAAGCCCAGAACCACAGGGAAGAGCTGCTGCTGGTTTCACGTGGATTTTGGAAGCTGTAAATAGCCCCAGCTCTCCGTGGGCTCTTGATTCTCCTGAGGGTTCAAAAGCAATTCCTCCCTGATCCGCTCGGTGCAGGGATGGACACTCCTGCCCAGTTCCAAGGGGAGCAGCTCTGCACTGCTCCAAACACAAGAGTTGTGGTGTGCTCTCACGGTTAAGGGGCTTCAGACACCACTTTGACTAATCCTCTGTGCTGGCTCCTACCACAACCACCACTTACTGGTTTGAATGAGCCCAAACATTTACACAGTTGGGCACCTCCTTGCTGCACAGGAATCAGTGGGAGAGAGAGAGAGAGGGAAAATGAAAGAGAAAACCCCGTGCCAGCTTTAATTCCTTCTGTGCCTAATGCAATTTGTTACTCATTATTAATCCAATAGAAAATATTGCTAAAACACCTGCTTTGATTTCTTCGCCCATCGAGTCCGTGATTACACACGGGTAGGGCTCACACAGAGCTCCTGGGAAGGTCTTGTGTGTTCCCAATGTGTGTGTGCCAGTGGGAAAAGTACATGATCAGCTTCACACACCCATTATGCACAGCTTAAGTTTCCAGATCAGCCCCTCCACCTTCCCAGCTTTAAATATCTGACTGTAAAAGCCAGCGTTGCTTTGTGTCCTCCGCAGATCTGTTTTTATGGGGTTTGTGGATCAGCAGATCCAACACCTTCTAAAGGCACACATATACATACACAACACACAGAGTGCACAGGGGGAACATCCCATCATCTGTCCCACATCACTTCCACTTGATTCCCACTTCTGGGAGCTTGAAAAGTATGGAACACAGCGGACAGAAAGTTCCTCCCTGTTCACTGCTGCAGTCACATCAATGCTGCTCCCAGCTACCACATTCTCCATTGACTAGAAATCACTCCACCAAGGAAAAGTTTTGCCACATTCCCTGTCTTGGGAAGATGAAAAGAGGATGACAGGATTGTAAATTCTGTGGATTCATTAGCAGAGAGCAGGCAGAGAGTGACTAGTGAAGACTGTGGCAGTCTGAGGACAAGAGCAAGACTGGCACCACTCGGCAAACACGACAGACTTAATAAAGAACATATTATTTAACATATCCCATTCAAACTACAATTATTTAGGTATGAAAAAAAAGATTACCAACCTGTTTCGTGGACTAGAGGAGCGATCAGGTCTGAAATTTTAGACCAATCTTGGTGGAGCAGGGTGAAGTCCTATGTCAATGGAGAATGCATGCCGGTCCTCCCGTGCCAATCCTTGCTGGGGACTGAAAGGATGGCTCAGTCCCCTGCTCTCCCAATTGAAAACTCCCCTTCTGTCAATGCTCTTCCAGGGCTGGAGCAGTGTTGAGTTGCAATCACAACTGTTGCCTCTATTGATAACCAGCAAGCTAATCTGGAGATCAGATTCTGGCCTGGAGAGGGAGAGGAGCCTCTTTCTTCCCCAAAAGCTCACCCCCTTCAGGTGGATTCAGATGGAAATGCCAGTGAGCCGGAGCTGGGCTCGCTGCTGTGCTGCTCAGGGGAAAGAAAACCCAACCCTCAGAAGAACTGAGCCCCTTCCTCCTTTGTGTAAAAGGAAAAAAAAAAAAGCCCATCTATATAATGTTACAGGATTAGCATTAAGCAGTGCTAGGCTCAAAGTGCCCTGAACTTTCAATGGAGCTACTTTGCCATCCAGGTCTTGCTTTACTTTCTGTAACTGACTTCTGCTTTTACAGGTGGAAAAGGAAAAACTCACCCAGTCCAGTGTTCTCCCTCCAAATGTCCCAGGGAGGCTTTCCTTGCTGTTCCTGTTTCCACCTGCTCTGGGAGGGCTGGCTGCTGCTGGTGGGGAGTCTCACTGGGGGACTGGTGTGAGTGTTTATTACTGTTTTCACTCCTACAACCTGCAATTTCCACAGGGATTTTCCCTGCCCCTGGCATCTGGGCTGATAGATGATACACAACTAGCTTTGGGCTGTGGGAGTAGCTGGGGTGAGCTGACCAAAGTTCCTCACTTTCTGTACCCTGGGAAAAGAATTCAACCACTTTCATTGCGTTCAGATCCACGTCAGATGAGAGAGGGAGAGGTGGAATAGCAGCTGAGGGGTGAAGGATGCCACCAGCAGAGCCACGTTAGAGCTGATTTTCCAGCCTGCAGCAAGACTCAGGTAGGACAGGCAGAGCTCCAACCCATCGTGGGAAAACAGCCTGACCTTGGCTTTTCCTTCCTGACTCTCTGGGTGGGTGCCTTTTATTTTCCCTGTTAGGAGTTAGTTATTCCTCCTGTGCTCCCTGTACACCCTCTCTCTGCCCCTTGTCAGGAATGGAGAGGGCACAGGAATGCCAGCAGCCCAACAAGAACCAGAGAAGCCCAGACTTCTTTTTTTTTTCCCAGGAGCCTGGGGGCTCCTAGAAGTGTGTTTAGCAAGTTCACCCCCAAAGTGCTGCATCTTACATCAGCAGTTTCCTTCAGCACATCAGGGGCACCAGGCAACACACCACCTCCACAGCAAATCCTGGAGTTTGCTTTTTCTTCATCCTCCAGACGTGGCCTTGTTAACAAGAGTCTTTCATTTTTAAAATTTATTTGTGCCCTTTTCTAAACCAACAACTATTTTAGGAGGGCAGGGGGATATCAGCACTGATATTCCAGGGACCCATTACTTCCAGCCTGCCACTCCATGCACCCTGGCTCTTCATTTTAAACATTACCAGCCACAGGAAAATCAATTGACTCCTCTCCTTCTGTTTTGTAACACAGAGAAAATTGGTGAAAATAGGTTTCCCTCTGCTCCTTTTTCAGTTTAATATTCTGGTCCTGTTCGTCCTGGGCAAGACCACACTGATGAAGTTTGATTAGGTTTCACTGTCTCTTTGGGGAGGACTTTGTCTTCCAGGCTGTTTTCTTTTGGCAGGGGATGTTCCCATCATGCAGTGCTGGACACATCAGAGCTGAACAACCAAACACTTCTCTTTTTTTTTTTTTTTTTAATTCTTCCAGCAGAAAACTTCTTCCCATGCCTGACCTCAAGAAAAAACAAGCATGAAAAGATGATACAAAAGGTCCTTTGGCTGCTTCATCTCAGCAGAGCAATCACAGGCATTCCCATTTCAAGGGACCCAGCACAGCTGGGAGACACCTGGGAGGGGTTTGCCAGGAGCTCTGTCCCATCTGGAGGGACATTCTTCTTCCTCCTGCCTCTCCCCAGGGTTATTTGGTGCAGGCCACGAGGATGGAACTTGTTTTATCCCCAAGGCCAGTCCCAGTGAGGACATGGAGCAGAAAACAGTGATCTCAAGCCTCATTCCTCACCTGGAAGTGGAGATGAATCACAGCCATGGAGAAATACAGCCCAGGAGAGGACTAGATCTTCCTTCTCCTTTCAAAAAGCACCATCACAGGTGAGGTGGCTGTGCCTGAGCTCTCAGCACACACATCAGCAGCACAAATACACCCCGGCAGCTCTCACTGCACCAAAGCTGTGAGTTAAACATCTGGGTCAGACCCACAGGAACGTTTTGCTTCAAGGGGAACACAAAAGGGCAAAGCTCAGGACACCTTTTTTTTTTTTTTTTTTTTGTGTAAAAACTTACATAAGTTTATTGAACTGATCCAAACCAATTACCTATTTGGCCTGAATTCCACTGCTAAGTCTGCGAGCAAACCAAAGGCAAGTCGTGGGAGCGGGAAGAATATCCCCCGTGAGAGAAACCAGGATAAAAAACGAGATGGACTTACAGTTCTTTTTCTTTGAAATTACACATGGATGCAACATTAACAGGGAGCAAGAACAGATCTTCATGTTTAAACTATATTTGAAATTTCCAGTAACTGCAGGAAACCAATCACAGAGGCAAAGGCCCGAGATGGTTGAAGTCCCTCGAATGTTGCTCTGGGGAAGGCATCTCTCTGCCTCCTACAGAAGTGCCACATCCAAACGAGGGAGGCACAGCTGCCAGGAATACATATTTTAGCCTCTGGGCTGCTTCCAGCACCTCGTTTGCATTTTCAAATCTGCACACGAACAGAACCTACAGAATTTCATTTACAAGCGAAAAACGGCAACCGAGGAGGCAGAGCCAGTGCCAGAGATTCCAGACCCAAGGAGACCCTCCCCAGAGGCAGCTCCTCCCGGGCCACCCTGGGCCACACTCTCACCGGCCACTAGGATGTGTGCAGCTCCCAAAAAACGGTGTTACAAACCCCAGCGGGGGAGCAGAGGGCAGTCAGTACGCCATGAATATTCATAACATCGCCCCTTAAGCGATCCGCCCGAAACATCTGGTCAAAACACGGATAGTCAACAGCAACGTTAGCCAAAAACACAAGAGCACAGCATCCAATCTCAGCACACGGAGCCGTGTGACACTTTGGTATGTAGCTGTCACCTAATTCCCGGTGAGCCAGGGGCTTGCCCGCCGTGCAGACTGCCCGGGGCAGACTTTTAATGCCTGAACTAGCAGGAACAGCAAAACAGCTCTTGACAAAAGTAGCCCTCTGATAGAAGGACACAAAAGCTAGGGAAGCTCGCAAATCTATTTTGTTTTCTCCAAGGAATGTGGCAGAGCCAGGGATGTTTTCACCTGGGCACAGCCCCTCCTGACTCAAACCTCCTCAATCAAACCTCCTGTCACATCAGGACCCTACGGGATTCTCAGCATCCCAAACCTCCTCTCCCACTCAGAGCCCTCTCCTCTCTCCCCAAGACATGGTCCCTGTTAAGTACTGACGTGGCACACGCACAAGACCCTTTCCCAACAGGAATTACAAAAGGAAAGGGATCTGGGGTGTTTTCCCCCATCAGTTGTGTGCCTTTGGTCCCACTTTCCAAAGTCGATCATCTGGACACATAAACTGTCTCTGGGTTTTGGATGTGACTCCTTCTCCTCGGGAAGACAGTCAAGATTTTTGGTTTCCACCCCACAAGTGTCCCACAAGCTGCACACAAGGTGAATGCCTTGAGAACATCATCCATTAAAAACCCTTCCCTGGAGAAGTGGCAAAGTGGTGATGTTGATATTGTGACTTCTGACCTGCCTGACCAGGGCAGCTGGGTTGGGTGTCAGCACCAAATCCCCAGCACTTGCTGACCTTGTATGTCAGTAGCTGTTCTTTCCCATCTCCCAGTTCCCATCAGATCTGCCACAAATAAAACCAGGATTTACTGACAGTTCTGAGCTGGTGCAGTGACAGCACCAACCCCTCCAGGGACAGGCCAACTTTTAGTGGGCAAACAAACTTAAAAGCACATCCTTGGGTCTTCTTTATCATCCCATTCAGCTCTTTAATGGTCTTTGTTTATTCCCTTCTCTGAAACCCAGACACTTAATTGTGCTCAGGAAGTTGGTCAAGACTTACAGCATCTCATTAATAGCAGGTACAATGCCATAAATACACCCACAGAGGCAATTACTGCTCTACAGAATTAGGTCAGAGACACTTTTGCATCCCTCTTGGTCGCTTACCTCGGACACTGCAGCGACTCAGGGACAACCTACTTACACTGGAGGTCAAGGGCTGAAATAGGCTTCTAATATTAAACAACCATATCTTCATAAAACTTTGCTTTATAACAAAATATCTTATTAACCACAACTTCTCCTATTCGCACGTATGTATATATATATATATATATCATACAGAAAGTGTTGGCTTAAGAGTTCTGCTATAAGGCAGCAAATTACTTTCACTGCCCAAAACGGAAAATACATCTTCAGTAAAGCTCTAGCTTATAAAAGCATCATTTTATGTTACACTGCCACTACCTCCCTGCTGTTTAGTTTTACAGGTACCACAGCTCTGCAGGCACATGCTGTGGTCTCTATGCTACCTGTGGAAAGTCTTGCTCCCTTTCCTATTGCTCATCTCAACGGGGCCAAGAAATTGGTATTTTTGGCAGGGGGGTGAGGCACAAATTATTAATTTGTCTTAAATCCTCCCATTTTTAATGCTTACTTTGGATGAGGAACTACTCCCCCCTGTGAACTATCCCCACATTCTGAACCTGAAGACTACGAGATAACACTTCACCCCCTCCCCATCCTATCCCACCCCACTTTCTAGGTGAAATATGAAGAGAAATACACAACTCCAGGAATATCAAAGGAGCTTGGTGATGTGGACAGAAGCATCATGGGAAAGAAAGTGCACGTGGGGACAAGGGAGCATTTCAAAATTAAGGTCAGGAGTTCATGTGTAACTAGAGCCCTCACTGCACAGCTTCAAAAACTTTTATGCAGCTGCTTGTAACTAGGAAATCTGAAAAGTCTTCAACTTGTCAGGGAGCAGAGGAACAAAGGAAGACACAGGGAAGGGAAACAAGAGATAGGAAGGAAGGAGGATTTCACTGAACAGGAAAGGGAATCTGCTCTGCAGCAGAAAACAGGGGCTAACTCAAGCAGCAGCAAAAGGTGAGGGAAGCCAATAGGGAGTGAAAACCTGCTGAACAACAAACACGAGTCTGGTTGCTTTGTTACTCAACTTGTAGGAACTGGTCTGAGCTGACACATTGTCCTGGCTCAGACCCCAAGCAGGGACCCCCAGCCAGGGGCCCCGGGGAAAGTGCTAAGGTTTGAATTCTGGTGCAACAGCAACAAACACAAACTTCACTCTTCCTCTCCTCCCTGGAGAGGAGTTTTAGCCATTCCACGTTCAGTACCAGCTGGTCAAGGTTAAGTGCATGGAGGATCTCTTCAGCATCAGGATGGATGATGGCCAGTGGGGGAAGCTCTTCAACCCCTCGCTGACCTGTTACTCTAAAAGCCCTTCCAACGCAACACCCATCCCACCACACTCCAAAATTCACTTTGCAACACACCCAAGGGTCCCGTTGCCCCCAGCCTGCCAGTGCTACAGGCTGCAGACACAGTGTGAGATGGGAACAGCCACCAAAACTTCCTGGTTTTCCCCCCAAATCAATGTGGATACAGGGCGTGTGTTCTGAAAAGGAAGTTTCTTTCTGCTAAATTCTCTTTCTTTCCCCCATTTTTGCACTCCTAGAAACCAAACCAGCGGAGTGAAGTGGATGCACTAAGTACCTGAGCTCTGAATCAAGCGGAATAAATACTGTTGGAGATCTTGTCTGTGAACTCGAGCACAACAAAAGGTTGGGACAGCACCAAGCTGCAAGGAAACACTTCAGCAAGCTCGAGCCACAGTCGGGTAGCGAGGCCAAAGGGAGCTCTGGTGGAGCAAAACACCAAAAACTTAGGAAAAGAAAACAACAGGTCAAATTCTGCACCGAGCTGTTGTCTCCCTTATGGACCCTGGCATTCCTTAGCTTGAACAACTGACCATTCACGCCAAATCACGAGTATACCGGAGCATCAAAGGAAACATCAAGGTATTGCCCACACTGAAACACACGTCCTGAAGTCAACTGTCACCTCAAGGTCACCTGCAGTGGATGGTGGGCGTTGGTTCTCACGTCAGGGCACCTCCTCCGGGCTAAGAAATCACCTGCTACAGAAACACAACCAAACCTCAACCAACCAACCGAAACAAAAACCTTGCAAAAACTCCTTAATGCATGTGTGTGGGTGTGGGGGGGCATGTGTGTGGTCAAGAGAGGTTATTTCATTCTGGGCTCCACGTAGATTTTATCCCCATCCCGGATGCCGTAGGAGTGCAGCGCTCGGGAGCTGTACTTCATCTCCTCAGGACCAAAGGGAGCCTCCTGGTCCAAGTAGAAGAGCAGCATGTTGCTCGTGGACAGCTGCACCACAGTTTTTAAGTGCTTCTTCAGCTCTGCCACAGTCTGATCGAGGCGGATGGACATCTCCTCCACCTTGTCCTGGAAGTGAACCTCCACCTTCACACTGCTCTGAGGCCGAAGATCCACCACTGCCAAGGGTTCCAGCTTCCCATACTTGGTGACCAGCTCGTGATACCTGGAAAATTCAACGATGCCACAATTAGGGTGCAGTTCCACAGTGCACGTTTCACAAGTCTGAATGTTCCTCACATGAGATCACACTGACCCTCATTCAAGTTTGATGACCTGGAGAGACATTCTCCAGGAATAATTTGGGTGGTATGAGCCCTGTTTTGTCCCCTGCCAGCAGGACACTTCACAGAGCACACACACTGTTTCTCAGGCAAGATGCTGAAAAGATATTTGGAAGAAAGAGAGGACGCCACACTCACAACTCTACAACTCCTGCTCCAGTACAAACACTTCACTAAAGAGTGCCAGAACCAAGCCAGTGCTCACACAGAGGACACAGCCCTCAGTTAGGATTCCCAGTGTCTGTGGCTTCATGGTTTAGCAGATTGTCAGACATCCCTGCTGTTTCCAAAGGGCCAAATGTTGCAATCATCAAGATCACCGAATCAAGGTGAGCCACTGAACAGCTTGGAAGGTGACAACAAAACAGGGGACTTCTTGCCAACTGATCCTGCACACCTACTCTAAAACAAGATGGGAATTTTACCAGCAGAGCCACACACCCCACTGTTACTTTCTCCTTGGAGCCAAGGTCTCTTCCCAAGGTCCATCCCAGGGAGCCATTCCTGGCAATGGAAAGTCTGTCTCACCCTCAGCGGGTATCACTCCCATCAGGCAAGGCTGCATCTCCCTGCCTGGCTGGGAAAGAGGCAGAATGGCAGCACAAAACACAATGGGACTGAAATGACAAAGGCAGAGCTGCTGAGGAAAGGTAACATTTCAGAGTCCCTCCCCTCTGCCCAGCACAGAAAGCCCTTTTTGTTCCCTCTCCCAGCCCGAGCTGAATGTGATCGGTGCCGTGTCACGGCCCCTGTCGAGCAATGATGGGACCTGGCAGGCTGGGAGACCCCAGGGAGTCCTGCTGGAGGCAGGAATGTTCCTGGAGAACAGCAGCCCCTCTGTCTGCTGGGAAGTGAGGTAAGGGCCACAATGCACTAGGATTTCCCCAGTCTCACGGACAAACGGAGCCTTCCCCAGGGCACAGCGTCCAAAGGCAGCCTGGTGCCCTGCTCTTGCAGCCACCTGCTGATAGGATCAGGACTATTTGTTTGGAAAAGCCATTAGTGCTGAGAGGAGACAACACACTCCCCATATTTGACCCACCTGCAGCTACAACAAGTGCCAACCAACGTGTCATCGACGGGGAGGGTTTCTCTGCAGCACAGTTTCCTCCAGGTGTAGAAGGATTTGTCAGCAGGGAAAGGGGCAGAGAAGAACCCACCCCTTGCTGCTCCAAGCCCTCAGCCCACTCTGGGACATCCCTTTAACTCTCACCATCTCTGCTGCTGCAGACCAGCAATAATTTCTTATGTGCCAGCTGGAATTACTGTCCTGACTGGTGCACTGAGGGCAACTGCCATGAACTGGGCTGATGGTGGGGAGAGGATAAAGAGGGGGGCAAATTTTGAGCAAGCTGAGAGAGAGAAGCACCATGAGTGGGCTAACATGACCCAAATATGTGCTGTTAACACATGGAGGGTCAGGCAACGCTGTCTTAAATTTTCTTGTGTTGAGGGAAGGCAGAAGCAGCTTTGCAGTCTGCCCCTTGTATGTGAGCTGCAAAGAAGGTTGGGAGTCTGAGTGACTGGCTTCCCTCAGATCAATAAGGATGAAGGCACACTGCTTATAAGGTTCTTTTGTACCCCGATAATAGGCACCCTGGAGACTTTTCTAATCACCCTTGCAGACACTGGCTGCCAGAGCAGAGGATGCTGAAGGATTGAGCCTGGCTAAAAGTGCCTCTGATACTCTGCAGATAAACAGTGGCCCAGACAAGCAGAGGAGTCATTAAAAACCCAGAGACACGGCGACGTCACTCCAGGAGACAGCCAATATTGGATTGTACACTCAGTGCTCCCTCTAACCCACGGCATCCAGAGACAGAAATTGTTCTTTCCATTCCCCTCCCTCCCTGATCCCTTCCAGCTGCAGCCTGGGAAGACACGAATGCAAGCAGGGGGGGTTCTCCTGGCAGAGCTTATCTCACGCTGCACCTTGGCAGTCTCCAGGGGGGTTGCTCCCACTGGGAAGTTTTCCGTGCTCCAGCGTGTCCTCCCTCTGCTCCAGGCAGCACTGCAATGCAGATGCTGTACCCCCAGCAACAACATGTGTGCCCTGATTAGATTCTAATTACAAACCACCTTTGGAGAGACCACGCCAGATTTAGGAGCAAAGAAGGGGAAGCTTTAGCAACAGACAGACACAAAATCCCTCTGCAAAGAATGCCAGGTTTCCCTTCCTACAAGGGCTGCTGCCAAGGGCCCAGGAACTGAAACCCAGCCCTCAGCACTGGGAACACTCTCAGCCATCTGCAGCCTCACTAGAAAATAGCCTGTAGTGGCACACAAGCCCTCCAGGACAGAACAACCCTCTTCAGTAGCTGCAGGAGTCTCTTGGAAACGCTGCACAGATGAAGGGATTCAGACAAAGAGGCCATTGACCATGAAAAAGGCAGTAAGAGTGTTTAAAGTTAAGAAACCAGAGGGAGAGGTAATTTTCCTAGTAGGTTGGTCAAAATCAGCCTGGTTTTCTTGGATGGGTGAGATATTAGTGATCTCTTACATGAGATCCCACCTGGAAAGCGACCCCAGTGGGGTGGGGACGTGTAACCACATGGGTGCCCACAGCCTGTTCCCAAAGTCCATGTCCAGAGACATGAAACAGCTTTCTTAGAAATAAAATGCTATGGGAAATAATCCATTTTGGGAGCATCACCATGAGCTCACAGTCCCTCCCTCCCCTCCCTCTCCCCTGCATTCTCTGACTCTGCTTCTATCACTTCCAATATTTCTTCCAATTTTTACGCTTCAAGGGCTTCTAAAATTGCAAGCCAGGACTTGTCCTCAGGAAAAGGCACAAGAGGGATCACCAGCTGTCTTGTCTCCCTGACTACACGAGTGTCCTTTGCCTCTGAACTGACCCCAGCATGCCTTTAACAAATGTTATAATCACTGAACCTATCAGGATTCATAAAAACCACTCTGCCCTCATGCCCTATCCCAGCCTTCCCATGCCCTTACTGTACCAGGTCACAGATCCAGTGCTTTAGGAAAACAAGAGGTATTTTACCTAAGAATTAAGCTGGGGGAAACACTGACCACTCAGTGTAAACACTGACCAGATTCCATTTGCACCCTTGTCATCCATTCCAGGCCATACCTTTGACCCCACCTCTGTGTGTCCCCTCAGAATCACACACAGAGTCTTGTCCTACCCCTTTCCTGTAAAAAAAGGGCTATAAAGCTCTGCTGTCAAAAAGCAAATGAGGGTTCTAGAGCAAAAGGCATGGAAAAGCAGTGGCTTGATGGTCCCTGATCCTTCCTCAGCCCATTAGGAGCAGTAAGTAGATGCTGGCACAGAGTTCAAGTTTATTAGTTTAACCAAGATGAACGGGTCATTGGATATACTTTTCTGGCAAAGAAAACCCATCAGGCTTTTGATTTGCAGGCCTGAAAATGAGGGGACAGCTTCCTGTTGCCAGTCACATTCCACACACCAGATGGTCAAGAGGATTAGATGCCTTGGCCTGGCACCACAGAGCACGATCTGCCCAGGCTTTAGGGCTCCCAAACACAGGTGGATTATGAAGGGAGCCATCAGAGGGGCCAGGAAACAATGAAGATCATGAACTGAACAGTCCTGTTGTTTAATGGCACTTGACACAGAGGATTTAAGACCGAATTTGACTCAGAAGTGATCCTACAGGTCCTCAGACAACACCCTAAAATAATGACTTCAGCTAAAACAGAGGATTCCAAGGCAGGAGGAAGGATGGAACAGTTAGCAGGATTTCCACGTAACATCACCTGTTCAGTGACCTCTCCTTTAGCCTCCCCACCCTCCTGCCCCTGCTCTCCACTGCACAGCAAAGAATTCACACCTGAATGGCACCTCCTCCTCCGGGAATTCCATGTAATATCGGATGAAGAATCGCTCCGAGTCCTCTCGCTCCCCATCGGCGACAATGCTCCCGTTGAGCTTGATGATGGATGGCAGCCTGCAAGCAAGACACCAAGTTTCATGCTCTTTCTCCAGGCACATTCAAGATTAAGCATTTTCATTTCACCACATCACGTGCACAGGGCATGTTTGAGACCCAAACACTCCTCTGAGAAGCAGAGAAGTCAGACGACATTTCCACTCCTCCGACTTTCCCCACACAACAAAACCAAGCTCCAAATCTTTCTGAATTCACACAGAACCCTATCTCCTACTCTTTTTCCCACAATTACCTGCTCCCACCCGTTGATTGTCACCTCAAGCTCCTGCTGAGCAGAACAAAGAAGGAACAGACCTGGCTATTAGCAGCTTCCTTCGCTCCTCGGTGGTGTAGGACTGCAGCAAAGGAATTCCCAGCAGCTTCACTTCCTCGAGCTTGGGAAAAGAATTTAACTTGTCAATGTCTTCCCAGCAGTGCAGACCTGCTCAGAAGGAAAGACTTGTGTAAACAAACACAGACAAAACGTTGTGTATCCAAGACAATCAGAACACACCTGACAGGTGAGTGTCACTGCTCTTCCTTTCGCTCATGAAGTGCTGAAAAAAAAAACCCTCCTTTTTTTTTTTTGCTTACAAGACAGAGTAACTGAAATTCTCTTGTGCTGTTTTCCAAGTCTGGAAGGATGATCTCCACGGCTTAGTTTTCCATGGATATGGATCACTCAGTGTTTGGCCTTGCTGCTGAGGACTGACCAGCATCAGTTCTGATGGCTGTGTCTATAATGGGATGCTGTCTTTTCAGTATTAAATTCATCATTCCAGGCAACACTAAACAGCCATCAAGTGGCTTTACCTTGCACACATGACTACCTTGAGTCCTGTTTCTGCTCACAACCCAACAGTAAAACAGTCCCAGAAGCCATCCAGGCATTAAATGAAAAAGGCTTTAACTCGATTTCAGCCCCCTCCAGACCTGGTATTTGGGATAACAAAGCAAGCAGGGAGAGTAAATAAAAAAACCTGAGCATTGAGCACCAGTAAAGCCCTGAGAGATCAACACAACTCCTTGCAGAGTTTTCACATGACACAATTCTGGAGTGCAGCAGCTTTCTCTAAAAACCCCAAGAAGTTTAACATGCTCCTTGGGATTTCCACTTGACTTCCAGCTCCCAAAACATCAAAATGCATTACAGAACCCAGAGTTCTTAAATACCTGGCATCAAAACTGCAAAACTCCTTACCACAGAGGCACTTGTTCCTCAGTGAGACAGTGCTTTCAAATCCAGCCTAACAGGCTTTTCCTCCTCTAGTTAGCTTTAAGCCTTTATTACAGGGAATCCTTGATGCTTACATTGTAAAGCATGTTAATAAAGCACCTTCTACCTGCCTGACACTCAACCAGCACTTGCACAGCATATAAAGCTGTAAAGAACAAAAGCTGATGATGCATCAGGTACTCCTGCAGATGGACTTGTGCTGCATGTGTCATCTCATAAACACATCACAGCCCTGCAGCTCTTTCTCTCCGAGCACAGGGCGCTCTTCCCAATATTCCAAATGCTCATTCTCTGTCTGGAGCTGAAAATTCTCTGGGGCTGAAGTGTAAAAGCAGCTTCAAGCATAGCTTGTGGTGAGCTCCTAATGACTGAGCACAGGTGACAGACAGTTTCTGGTGACAGGCAGCTTGATATGTGCTGCACACCTGCACAGACCCTCATTTTACCCGGGATAAAACAGGGAATAAAAGAAAAACGGGATTCTTTCATCCTCTCCACTGCCAGACGTTTATTTATCCTTCTCCAGCCAGGAGAGCACCTGAGGCAGGGATGTGAAACAGAGGGAAACTACTCACATAAAAAAGCTTTGCCAGCTCATTTTGAGTAACTGCTGGTCCACACTACTCTGCCTCATCTTTGATAACGATGACTACCCAAAGCAGCAGGCAAAGCCCACAGAGATGGGCTTGTGTTCACCTACATGGGAGGGGAGCTCTGATCAACCAGCCATTCCTCCTGAGAACAAATCCCATCCTGCTCCCAGGCTCTCACCTGATTTGTGCAAGTTGATGGATCTCAGGTTGGGGAACAGCCTTGCCAGGGAATCTTCTGACTCTTCGATGGTGGTGAGGTTGTTGTTAGCCAGAATAAGTGTGTCCAGGGATGGAAACATAATTCCCAATTTTCGAATTTCAGTCCAGTCTTGAAGATTATTGTCAGTTATGTGGAGCAGTTTGAGAGACTGGCAGCAAACAGGAGAACAAGACACTGTTTCGTAGTCATTAAGGCACAGGAAGAGCTCCTCCAAGCTGCACAAGGGCAGAAGGATCTTGTCAGCACCTCAACACACCTTGAGAAATGGTATCTCAATTTTATGTGATTTTAACACAACTTCCCAAAGTGATTTGCAACCTTTGAGAGCTCCACGTGGAATGTTCCCACTACACCTCTGCTCCCATCTAAAAACCTTCCCCAGAGATTAAAAAAAAACCCTCCAAGTTTTAGGCCTCCCAGGATTAAATTTTTAACACATTGCCTGGGGTTATCTTCCACATTTGTGCCCAACAAGCCACCAACCCAACTCCAAAAGAGACTGGTACCTGCTCCCAGTGCTCACCATTTAATTTAAAATGGTCTTTTGATGCAACACTGATTATGATTTTCCTCCCCACATCACTGGTTCAGCCAAAGACTCCCATTAAAGAAAGAACAGATTTTCAGACAACTAAAGTTTTCAGACACCTAAACTGGCTCTCCCAATCCCAGGGAAGTGGAGGTTGGCCACGCAGGATATTCTGGTGTCATCAGCTCTGCTCACAAAGCCACACAAATCTGCCAGCAAAGTGAAGCCAACGAGGACATCCATGGGAGCAGAATGCCAAGGTGGCCCGTGGCCAAACCACAGAAATCAACACTTTTGCACAGAAAAGCAGGATGAACCATTACTTGACAAGTGGGTACATCCCACTCAATCCCTGGTGCAGGTATGCACTGCACTCACAGGACAGGGGGTCACCTCCCACATTTTTGGGGTGATTATCCATCCATCTCTGGTATTTAGATTCAGAGGAGAAGCTCCAGGCTTTGCAGTGCCACACAAGTTCAGCTTTTTAATACAATGTAAAGCATTCCCCTGGTCAGTTCCCAAACTCCCAAAGAAAAAAAAAAACCCTTTGTTTTTTAATCAACGATATTCTCATCCCTTAACACAAAGTTCAACAACCCAGCCTTGACCTGCTTGCAGCAAGCAGCCCTTTTTCTACACCCAGCTTCCCAGGCTTACTCAGGTAATTCCTGCAGGATGGTGTGCACTGTTTCCCAGGAAGCTTTGCTGTTGTTGAGCACAAGTTTGCGAACGCCAGCGAAGGACCCAGCGCAACTTCTCTCTAGAACGGACAAACTGAGAGGGTTGGAACTCAAGTTTAGAAACTCCAAGTGGGGAACGTTGGACACAATTTTACTGACCTAATGGGGAGGGAAAACAAAACAAAACAAAAAAAAAAAGAGAGAGAAAAAGAAAGCAAAGTGTGTCAGGCAGTAATCAGAGCTCAGGCAATAATATCCCACCTCCTAAAAGGGGATCACCACAAGCCAAAGGAGTGATATGGGGGAAAACACAGGGCTTCTGGATTTCTACCTGTAATTCATACTCCAGCTATTCCTGATCTAGATGGATTAGTTAATTGCTCATTTGCCTCAACAGTTTGTTTCATTACACTCCCTGAGCAGCTTGATAAGAGATGGTCAGTCCCTTGGGAGAGGTCATAAAATCCACCTCAACCCCAAGCTGGAGCAGCAGCACATTCCAGGAGCCAGCGGGCCAGGCCTCTCTCAGCAGGGAGGCATCATCTTGGCACATCTCTTGAGTTTGTGGCCAACACTGGCCACTTGCTCAGCCTTCCACTGCTCCCCAGAGCTCAATCAATCCACAAAGAACACCTCACATCAACCTCATTTCCCTCTTTGCCTCGGTGGGAAGCAGCTTCCAACACCATCCACACACCAGCTGCTCTGGCAAACTGGGGATTTGCAGTGCCTGGGACAGCACTGTGAGTGAACAGCTCAATGCAAAGCCAGCAGACAGAAGAATGAAAGTTGTTATGTTTTCCATGACCACAATAATTGAATGCTGGGCTTTTTAAATCTGTGGGTGATCCCACAGGTGGGAAAGGCTGCTACAAGACCAGAGGCCAAAGCAAAGCCAGCTAAAACCCCTGAGATGGAAGTTCAGTTCAGGGACAGTCAAAGAACTGACATTCAGGGAAAAAGACATTAATCCAGAAAATAATTATGAGTCAGAGAACACCTGTCTGGAGAGCTCTGCTCCACAAAACAATTGGGATGGGAGGAGATGGGGCAGACCAGGACACACACAGGTCACTAACTGGGCCCAGTTGTTGGCAAAGGGTGATTGACTCATGCAGAGACTGAATTCAAGTGTGGCAAACATGAGGTAATGACCCTGCCTCACTTCACACCTCATCCTGGGTGATGTCATGTTTTGGGTGCTACACCTCAGGAATTAAGCAGACAAACTGGGTGACATCAGCCCAACAAAAGCACAGGATTTAGCAAAACTGGCCTATGATGAAGGATAGAAAAAACTGTTTTTTTTCAGTATTATGCTAAAACAATAAAAGGAGACATGAAAGCTCTTCTTCAGGGTATAAGGGAACAGCAATGGATGCTCCTCTGTGCCTGCTGAGAGCAGGGTAGGGAGTAATTGGCTTAAACTGCAGCACAGGAGGCTGAAATGAGTCAGTTTAGACCAGGAGGTTATTAGCTGAGCACGGGAACAGACCACCCAGGGATCTGGAATCGCCACCACGGGCAGTTTTTAAGGGAGCTATTTATCAGTTGTGGATGGGCTATGAAAACATAAACCTGTCTGAGAGGAAAGGGTCAGTGTTCACAGAAGGCTTTCAGTTCCAGGGCAGCCTACAGAAGCTGAACACAGAGCAGGGTGCAAGACATGGAGCTCATGAGTGACCAGTGTGTGTGCAGCTCTCCCAGCCGGAGATGTGAGCCCCACTGAGCTGGGACATTTCTGCAAACACCAACAGGAATTTGACACAAAAAACTACAAAACATCCCACTGTTTTCCACCTATTTCCAACAATAAACACTAACATAAAAGGAGAGCATAATCCAGTGAGGAACTTAATGACACTTGAGCAGACTGAGATTGTTTTACTCACATTACATTGCATTTATCGAGCTTATTTCACCCAAGTGCTTTGAAGGATTTTACAGTAGCATTTAGAATTAATTAATGAGGCTTCAGAAATACCCTCTGTGGTAAATGTTACTAAATCTGTCTCGCAGATAAGGAAATCAAGGTGGAGAGAGAATAAATACCTTGCCCACCATCACAAAATCAGGGGCAAAGCCAGGAATCTGCTGCCATTCCTTGGACCCCCTCAGTTCTTACTCTGTTAAAAACTCCACTGCCCATTAACCTCTTGATGTTAGAAACGCCAGTTCCAGTGCTTTGCACGATAAAATAACATAAAAATGTATATTTTTCACCCACAGCCAGGACTGTAAGTCTCAAGGGAAATGCAGTGAAGTGCCAAACTGGATTAATTTCACCCCGTTCATCGCTGGGTTGCTGTCGAGGTAAATAAAAATCAGCTCCGAAGATGAGAAAGCAGCCACTAAAAATGCAGCTCCCTCCCCTTTAAACGAACAAAGTGCTTCCACAAATGTAAAGCATTTGCAGCCACAGTAAGAGCCTTCAGGAAGGTGCAGATGCCACCGTTTTACCTCGTGCCAGTCTTCCAGTTTGTTGTCAGAGAGGTCGAGCTCGAAGACGTGGGCGCAGAAGGCGGCGATCTCGTTCTCATCCCCGGCACAGGTGATGCCACAGCTGTTCAGCACCAGCACACTCGGCAGGTTCAGGCGGTCTGGGACAAGGGGAAAAGAGAAGCTGCCCCCTGGTCAGCACTGAATTTTAGTTACAGAACCTCCAAAAGCAAAAAAAAAAACCCCGCCGGTCGTTCCCAAATTTACACACGGATTTAAGGAGCTCGGGGTAAACGTGGGTTTTATGACAACTGACTGGTGTCATCACAAAGTCTTTTTGATTCTACACAGGCAGTACCACCCAGTATCAGTGCCCTGCAGTTACTGCATGTATTTCTGTCCACAGGCCAGTCCTCTGTCATTTATGGTGTGTCTCATATCAGTTCTTGACAGAACTTGTGCTCTTCCTCAGGCATCTGCTGCAGCAGATAGGACACAGGACTAGGTGGAGCATTTGCTGCACTGCCAGACTCCCTTATCCCTTATCCTCTTGCCCTTAGTAACAGCAAGGATGTATTTAAGCATTTCTTCTCTAAGCTTTCCCTTCCAAGTTCAGTGTAGAGGGTTCAGCACTCCTACAACCTGGAAAAGCTCAGGTCTCTACTCTGCTTTTACATTTCTGCTTCAGTTTTGCTCTAATGCCTTCTCAGGCAGGTAAATGTTCTCAAAGCTATTCTACAACCAAGGACCTCAATCACAGCTCGATGTGCTAAGGCCAAGACATGACAGAAAGCTGTGGATTTGTAACAGGAAACCATTTCAACTCAAGGAATCCATCTCAAGGCAAGGCAAGGTATCAATTCTTACACTCCTTCACATACAACATGGCTTTCCCAACTCTCAGGAGTACCAAGAGCTATTAAAATTTAACAGCCAGCTTCTTCCTAAATAGGTGGCCCTTTTTATCTCTCTCCTTAACACCTGACAGCTACAAAACTAGAAAGGATTCTAGGAGCAGACAATTATCTGGAGTGATCTGAGTTTCCAAGTTTTCTGGCTCATTAGTGTTTGGCTTTTTAAAGGACTGTGTTGCACCTTGGGAATTAGTCATGACGTACTTGTAAGTCATGTCTCAGTCACATTTTAAGATGTGCCCTCTTTTCAGCATCCAAACAGCTCAGGTGAGCAGGTGCTCCTTTACCTGGAGAGAGGGCACTGACTGAATATTCCATCAGGCCAATTCTCTGTGTTCTTTTTGAGTGGCACACAGAGTGTTTTATCCTCAACTGAACTCAGGCTCTTTCCTCTCCTCTGTCAAACTCAGTTATTGGAAACCTCACCCAGCTGATTTCTGTGGTTATTTTCCCCTTTGGGGCTGGTTGTGACACAAATTGACCTGATGGATGTTTGGTCAACTCGTACAGGTCACGATGGGCAAGAGGTGACACAAAGACAGGGCAGCTCTGGTGGGATGAACGTGAATCTCAGACCCCTCTGTATAATCCAAGAATCAAATTCCAACATCAGAGCGTGAGGGAAGACTAAAGGGTGTCAAATGGATCTAGTTTAAAGGACACAGTGACACAGATTCTGCAGTCAGGGAGGCTCAAGGACATCCACAAGCAGCACAGAGCTTCAGACACATGTGGTTAAACTCCCTTGAGGCAACAAGGTCAGAAGCACAGGAGAGGGGATTTCTGCACTAGGTCACAAAGCATTTGGTGCCCTGAGAAGAGCAAGTACACTTGTCACAAAAGCAGCCTGGCTGGAGATTCAGTGACTCTTCACTGTGCTTGAAATATGTACCCTCCTGTGTACACTGGGTTCCTGCCCCTGCAGGCATCAAACCTAAGCTGGTGGCACTGCATGGCACCACTGGCATGTGCACCAACCTCGAATTTATGTCATGTGTTATGTATTTGTTAAGCCACCTCTGCCAAAATACCTGTTGCTGCAGCCAGTAATAAACCAGGATCATTAGCTTGAAGAAAATAAGCTCTGGGGACTGTTGAACCCTCAAAAGTCAGACTGCACAGGGCCGTAAGTCCATCTTCCAATGACAGGGTTGGAACTTGAGGATCTTTAAGGTCCCTTCCAACCCAAATCACTCCATGATTCTGTTCTATTCTACGATTCTGATTCTTTTATGCTGTAGAGAAACTCACTTGTTTTTCACAGCAACCAGTTCAGTCACTGCATCACCTTTGCCACATCCCAGTCTCTCAGCTCATCGCTAAGAAACACGTTCTAATAAACATTATAACACATTGTGATGGTGCTTCTTTTGGCAATTCAGGGTGATTCCCCTTTCCTTGGATTCCCCCCAGATGCTCAGAAGGACCAGGAGCCTACCTTTCATGGGTGAGCCCTGGGGAGTTGCTGGGACGTGCACCCCCATGCCGGGGCCACGGCGATACGGGAAGTTTTCAGGGCTGTATTTCTCACAGAGAACTTGCATGAAACTCCTTCCACTGGGCTGGTCCATGCTCCCTTCTTGGACTTCTGGTTAGTGCAGAGAAAAACAGAGCATATAAACAGTCAGCAACTAATAATCACCTCTAGCAGTGGTGCCTGAGAACACAGGAGAGAAAGCAGCCACATGGGTGATGGGGTTTATTTCTGAAGCACAGATTAGTCTAACAAGTCAAATTCAAACTCCAGATTAAAGTAAAGCATTACCTGAAAAGAAATCAAAACCAGAGGGTCTAAGGTGCACAAACACACCACCACAAGCCCTCCTTACCCCACATGCTCTTACAGGACAGCTCCAACATGCCCCAGGCTGCCAAAGGCCACTTCTGCATCTCCCAGGAGGACTGTGAGGAATCCAGAGCTCCCCTCAAACACACTGCCAGGGCAGCGAGGAGGGGAAGGAGCAAACAGCTGTTTGTGAGTAAGAGATTGCTCAAACAAGTGTTTACAAAGTCCCCTTTTCTGCTGTGTCACCAAACACTCCCCAGCACATCGTTTGGCCAGACCAAAAGGCGAGTTTTGCCAATTCCATTCTGCAGCTGCCTAATGCATCTGGAAGATAACTGTGCCCTCCCTATCTAGGCATGACACAGAACAGCACAGGAAGAAGGACTTGGCACATCACAGGCTGCTGACCTGCCTAGAAAGACACCAAGTGGCAGCTGGGAGAGTATCTGGCACAAGGATCCCTCGATGGCTGGTGTTAGACCCAGGTGGGACTAAAATTCTCTCCTACTTTCTTCTCTGAACTTGGCATTTTGTGGTTTTGTAATAGAGGAGTAGAGCTTGATACATGCACCAAGAAAGAGAACCTCGTTGTTCCTGGGTTTCCAGAGGCCTTGTAGCACAAAATCTAGACATAAAATCCTGAACAAAAGTGATTTCAGGACCCCTTTACTGAGAATCACCTGTTTAACGAGCTCTACTTTACTTCTCCATGACCAGACTATCCAAAACACATCTATTACAAAGGAACACACCTATTACAAAGGACTTCAGGAGAACGAGCAGCAAGATAACTGAAGCCTATTATAATTTTTAATTTATATATAAAGTTTATATGTCACAAATAGGAGCTGAAAGGATTGGTCTTCCTTTAAAAAAAAAAAAAACAACCCACACTATTTTTAGCCCTCAACAACTGGGTTGATTCATATCTCCAACTCAACTCATGTCACTAGTCTATCTAGAATGAAAAAAGAAATCCCTGTTAGGCACAAGGCATTTAATTTTAGGTTAAAATATTCTGCTTGGTACAAGAACAACGTGCATTGACAGCCAAGGCTTTAGGGCTGAAAGGCCTCATTCCAGAGTGGTTTGGGAGCTCAGTCCCATCCCATGGACAGGCAGTGCTTTCCAAACACACATGGTGTGGAAATGCTGAAAGTCCCCTGTGCAGAAAGCTTCCTGTCCTTCACATGGCTCTTCTGTCAACTCCATTCCTCTCTGTCTGCTGAGCAAACATCACCTGGAAATTCCACCTGAGAAACTCCCCTTAACACCCCACTAGAGGCAAAAACTGGTGTTTTCAGCTACAGTGGGAAAGCAATCCAGAGCTGAGGAAAAAAACTAACAACATTCACATCCAACAGCTTTGAATCATCAACATTTTCCTTCCCAAGCTCTGGTTTTGCACAGCAGTGCCTTTGTTAGATGACAGAAATGTCAAGGAGTGTCAGTCACCTCTTCCACTTCCCTCCTGCAGGGTGTCACAGTCACTGCAATCATGTCATGCACGTGGCTTCCCTGAATCCCTACAATTATTCCAGAGCAAGGAGCAGCACAATGTGCTAAGCAAGGATGACAGGATCCAAGGGAACGTTGTCAACACGGGGTGACCTGCAAGGTGCACGTCCCTGAGTGCTCCCCTGCTGACAGCACGAGGAACAATCCACAGCCTAAAATAACTCTGGGGTTTTTAAAGGACAGCACAGACTGCAAACGATGCACTGGGCCTCTGGAAGATGTCAGCAAACAGCCTCTGCTGGTCTATTTAAATGCTCTGCTGGAGTGGCAAACAGCAGAGAATGCTAAGATGGTTTGGGTTGGAAGGGACCCGAAAGATCATCTCATTCCAACCCCTTGCCATGGGCAGGGACACCTTCCACAAGGTGGAAGACACGTCCAACCTGGCCTTGGACACTTCCAGGGATCCAGGGGCAGCCACAGCTTCTCTGGGCAACCTGTGCCAGGGCCTCCCCACCCCCACAGGGAAGAGCTTCCTAATATCCCACCTAAACCTACACTCTCTGTCAGTTTGAAGCCATTCCCCCTTGTCCTGCCCTTATCAATAGTCTCTCTCCATCTTTCTTGTGGCTCCTTCAGGTCCTGGAAGGCCAAAAAAAGGTCACCCCAAAGCCTTCTCTTTTCCAGGCTGAATAATCCCAACTCTCCCAGTCTTTCCTCCCAGCAGAGCTGCTCCAGCCCTCTGATCATCTTGGTGCCTCCTCTGGACTCACTCCATGTCCTTCCTGTGCTGGGACCTCACAGCTGGAGGCAGCACTGGGAATTGTCTGCAAACAGGAACAAGACCCTGTCTCAAGATTCCAGGGAAAACCAGGGTGCTGCTGCAGCTGGTGAGGAATGTAGAAAGAGAATACTACAAAAACACGAAAAACACTTCCATCCCTGAGCTGTGTGAGGAGAACAAGAGACCCTGGAGGAGAATGGCACCACTAATGACATGCTAATGAAATTCCAGAGCCACTTGAAGGCCTGCAGGCCAGATCCTGAGTAGTCACACACCAAACACATCCTGACGTGTTTGTACACAGGAAAAACAAAGCAATAAGGAATGGATGAACAGCATAAACATCAGCCTGGAAGGAGCTGGAAGGTCCTTCTCCCGAGACATGATTCAGGAGAATTATTTTTGATGTGATCTCAAGAGACAGAAAAGCAAATCACAGAACCACAGAGTCCCAGGAGGGGTTGGGTTGCAAGGGGACCTTGGAGATGGTTTAATTCCAACCCCCCTGCCGTGGGCAGGGAAAGCCTATCAGGATTTAGCAGGGACAATATTAGGGCAGGCAAAGTGACCACCAGGGCAAGCCACTCCATGAATCCCAGCACGGCTGTGTGCTCACGCTGCTGGGAGCAGCCGGCACCGGCAGCAGGACTGAAACCGTCCCGGGGACACCCGGCTGACCCTGTGCCACGCTCCTGCCCCGAAGTGACACCGTGCCACCGACCCAGCAATTCCCATGGCCGGGCTGCCGTAAATCCCACCCGGGGCGAGCCGGGGCGGCCCCTGCCCGTGCTGCTGGGCGGGATGAGCGCCCAGTGCCCCCGGACAGCCCGTGGGCCTCCCCCGGACCCCCCCGCCCGCCCCCGCTCCCCTCACACAGGCCCCTCGCAGCCCCGGGCGGCCGCGGCCCCGCCGCCCCCGCGCCCCGCCGGCCCCGCCGCGCTGCCGGGGTGTGCCAGGGTGTGCCGCGGTGTCCCTGTCGCCCCCCTGTCCCCTCCTTGTCCCCTGCGTGTCCCCCCGTCCCCCTCACCCAGGCCCGGCCGCCTCGTCCCGCATCGACCCGGAAGCAGCTCCAAAACATCACGTGACGCCCGCGGCGGTCACGTGACCGCGCCACCCTCCCCCGGTTGCCGCGGAAACGGCGACGCTCGTGACGTCACCGGTGTCCCCAAAGTTGGGGTTTTCCCTGGGATAAAGGCGGCCGGGCGGGTCAAAGGGGGCGATCCCGTGTGAGGCACAGCTGGGCTGCTGCGCCCGTTTCTGGGCTCCTCAGGACAACAAGGAGCTCCCGGGGATGCCTTAAGGTCCTTAAGATCCTTAAATCCTATTATATAGAGTTTTAACGCAGCTTTTAACGCTTCACAACTCACCGCCCCTTGTGCCAGATTCTGAAGGTTCTGCTTAGCGTCCTTTCCGAGGAAAGATTTCAGCAAAAACATCTAATTTGTACAGAGAACATAACACACACTGTTAGATACAACTTTAAACTAAACTATCAAAGAAAAGAGAGACGGATTCGTACCCCAAATGTCAAATGGGACCACCAGCCCAGTTTAGGGAGGTGTGCCCAGGGAAAGGCCTGAGGGTGGTCTGGAGGATGGACAGTTTTGGGGCCGTGATGTTAGGTATGATAATTAGCCAGTATTATAAAATTATAACAGCTATTCTGTGTGCTTGTGCTTAAATATGTTTTATGCACCTTAGGGCTTTAATTAAAGACCTGCTCCTAACAAACTGTCCAGAGAATTTTTCTCTCATTTTAGGCAACACTGGAGCAGGTCCAGTGGAGGGAGACAAGGAAAATTATTTAAAATTATATAAAATTCTTTAAAAATAAATACATGAAATAAAAATAAATAAAGATAAAATAAATAAAGATAAAGTAAATATAAGTAAATAAAATAATTAAAAATAAAATAATAACATTAAAAAAATAATTGAGGAGCTGGAACACCCTTCTGACCAGGAAAGGCTGGTGTATAATGTTGGCAGCTTGTCCAGCAGCTACACCCCTTTGCTGGCAGTGCCATTCTCAGCCAGTTCACCCATTTCTCTCCTGTTTATTCACTGTCTTTTCTGCAGTGGCTGGTCATGACCTCAGAAGGAAGGATAGAATCATTGAATCCCAGACTGGCTTGGGTTGGAAGGGACCTTAAAGATCCAGTTCCATCCCCTGCCATGGGCAGGGACACCTTCTACCAGACCAGGTTGCTCCAAGCCCCGTCCAACCTGGCCTGGATGACAAATCATGCAGGGATTAAGGACAAATCCACCCAGCAACGAGCCTGCCTGGTTCCCCACCTCCATCCTCGCCAGGATTACACGGTGGGAATGAGACACTGTCTGAAGCAGGGCCTCTCCTCCCTGCCAGAGGCAGAGGAGTTCGAGGAGAGCTCCCTTAGTCATGGCTGAATGGCTGCAGGGCATCCACACCCTCTGCCCAGGCTGTAACATCATCGGGACAGCTCTATCCTGTTACCTGCACACCAGCACAGCACAATGGCAGCATTGTGGGTGCTACCCAGGCAGAGGACAAGAAAAAGTGTTCAGCAGCAGCCCAGGGGGGTGAGGGATTGGTTTAACTCCTGCTCTGCCACGTATTTCCTGCCTCACCTTGGACTGACATCATGGCTTTGCACCCACAGGAGACAGACAACTCATGCTAAGCCAAGGAGGCAATTCTGGGAGCCTCAGAGTTGGACTAAGGATCTCTCAGCAGAAAATATCCCTCCCAAGAGGCAAAGTAAGCCCTGGGCAGACCACTGCCAGAGCTGGAGCCATCAGCACATCACCACAGCAGCCCCAGCTGCAAACTTAAAAGCTCTATTAGGCTTAATCATAGAATGTAATCTAATCAGATGTGCCCCAATCTATTGCCACTCCCAAAATTCAGCTCCTCTGTCTCCCATTCCCTGCTTCTCCTTGGAATTGGTG